TGCGGCCGGTCGATTAGTCTGAAGATCGACTGAGCCACCTGTGGGAGCAGTGACCACTCTGTCGGGGCGATCCAGCCTCTGGAGAGAGCGTCGGCCGTGACGTTCTCTTCCCCCGGGATGTGGACTGCCGACAGGGCTATCCCGTGATGTATGCACCAGAGGGTGAGATCCCACGTTAGTGCACACAGATGGCCTGACCGAGTGCCACCCTGGTGATTGATGTATGCCACCACTGTGGCGTTGTCGCATCGGACCAGGACTGCTTGCCCTCTGACGTCCGACTGGAAATGTTTTAGTGCGTTGGTGACTGCCAGCATTTCCAGGACGTTGATGTGAGATGACTGATGTGCGGGGCCCCATACGCCCGCGACCTGTCGCGGGTGGAGGGTAGCCCCCCAGCCGTACCCTGAGGCGTCGGTTGTGATAAGTACCGACGGGCGGGGCGGGCGGAAAACACGGCCCTGCGTTATATTGGCCTCGACTAGCCACCAACGAAGGTGGGGGACTAGCCAAGACGTAGTGGGCACCGGATGGTCGATCGGGTGCCAGCGGGGTCTGTAGAAAGACAGCAGGTGAAGTTGAATTGGCCTCATCCTCAGCCTGCAAAAATCCACCAAGTCCACCAGACTGGCCATAAGGCCCAACAGCCTGAGCCAGGCTCGGGCCGGAGCCACTACCGTCGGGAGGAAGAGGGACACGCACTGCCGAAGGTTCAGCAGGCGGTCCTCCGATGGCCGGGCCAGTCCCCTGCGAAGATCGAGGGATGCACCCAGAAAGGTGGGAACCTGAGAGGGGACTGGATGGGATTTCTTGGTGTTGATGAGAAATCCCAGGTCGGAAGCAAGTTGCCACGTTAGTTGGAGCGCCGCTTCCGTCTCCCCTCGAGAACGGCCCACTACTAGCCAATCGTCGAGGTACATGAATATCATGACCCCTCGACGCCGCAGTGCCGCCCCGATCGTCTTCACGATCCGGGTGAACACCCGCGGAGAAGTGGATAGCCCGAACGGGAGCACCACAAATTCGTACAGTGTATTTTTGTATTGGAAACGTAGGAATTTGCGATGTTCCGGCCTGATCGGTACGTGAAAGTACGCGTCTTTCAAGTCTATACTGGCCGCCCACGCTGGTGTCATGATCGATGCAAGAATGGTCCGTAACGTTTCCATGCGGAAACGTTTCGGACGTATGAACTTGTTGAGGGGTTTTAAGTTCAGTATTGGACGCCACACGCCGGTTTCCTTCTTGGGGGCCAAGAAGAAGGTTGACATGAAACCTGCCCGGGTCCCCCCTTGGGGGACAACACGAACTGCTCTCTTCAGAAGGAGGGCGTCGATCTCCTCCTCGAGGGAGCGGCGTTTTGCTGTGTCGGGCGGTACGGGCGTTGTCCGAATTAGCATGTCCGACGGGGGGGTCCTCGTAAACTCGAGCGCGTAACCGCTGCTGATTGTTTCGAGGACCCACCGGTCGGAAGTCACCTGCACCCAGGACCCCACGAACTCCTGAAGGCGGCCTCCCACGGGTCCAGCGGTGGGAGGCCGCCTGGAGACGCATAAGTCACTTGCGCCACGCCCCGGTGTACCGGGGAGTGGGCGCACGGAAACCGCGTCCCGACTGGGGACGCTGTTGTCCGATATGTGGTTGTGAATAGCGCGGGCCGACCGCCTTATCGGCGCGCCCACGAAATCCACCACGGGCCGCTCTGACCGGGGGGCGGCGCCGGGGAATGACAAAAGATGGCTGTTTCTTCTTGTCCGCGGTTTTCGGCTCGACCGGTTTCTTGAGATTTATTTTCTCCGTGGCCTTGAGGCGCTTTGCTTCGGCCTCCATGGCCTCCTGGAACTTACCAGAAAATAAGTCCGGGCCTGAGAGCGGGAGATCGTCGAGACGCTTTCGTGCTCCCGGTGAAGGGAGGAAAAGCGCATCTAGCACATTGGCGCGGCGTGACGATGTTGCTAAGGTCGACACTCTAGCAAACTGGTCGAGAGTGGAGCACAGGCCGCGATCGAGGCAATGGAGAGCAGCCACCATCATGTCGGCTGGTATCACCGAATCTTCTTCATATCCCAGTGCCAGGTACTCTGACAGGAGAAGAAGAAAGGACGTCGCACGCATACCCATGCGTGCCGCCGAGTCCATTCTGCGGGTGACATCTTCCAGCTTTCCACGGGTCTTGTCTGTAAAAGGAACCTTGGATGAAGCTGTCCCTCGGTCAGCGGCGAGCTTGTCAATGGCCGAGTCCGGCAGGACCGGAGTTGAGAAATATTTCTCAAAATCTCCTGGGGGGAAATGATAATATGAGTCTACGCGTTTAGCGTAGGCACTCCAAGTCTTTGCGTGCATTATACCGTCGATGTGGTCAACGCACACGCGGTCCAAGGGCATTGTGGGAAAAGCCCGGACCGGTTCTGCCGTCGGTCCCGATCGCTTCTTGAACGACTGACGCTCAGGAGGAGGAGGAGGTTCGATACCAGCAGGAAGATTTAGAACTCTGATCATATCCCGTTGGACCAAGCGGAGTTCGGTCTCAGCCACTGATAGGCGTTGCATGGTGCGGGTCAGTTCGCTCTCGTCCGCCGAATTGTCAGAGTCCGGGGGGCGAGTTGCCACCGGGGAATGGGAACCAGGCCCCGGGGGCGAAGCAGCGCCGTCACGGCGTCCCGGTATCGAGCCCCGCTCAGAGTCCAGTGACGCCGATGGGTGTAAACTAATACCGGGCGGGGACGCCGGTGCACGGCCCTCCGTGCACGGCATTGTCCGCTGGTCTGTAGTCACCCCACCACGGCCGTGATGACCGGCGTGTGGGGGCTGTAATTCTGGAGGGGACTCCGGCGCACGGCTAACCGTGTGCGGTATGTCCCTTTGGCCCGGAGTCGGCCAACTGTGACCGTAATCTCCCTGTCGGCCCGACAATGAGGCCGCGAGGGAGTGAAAGGCCTCCAAAAAATCATCGCGTGAGATCGGGTCGCCACCCTTGTGGCGTTTCCCACGGTGCGATCGGCCGGATGACTCGCTGGAACTCGTCGAAGAACGGCGGGAACGGCGGCTCTTTTTTGATTTTTTCTTCTTTGAGGAGCGACTCCGAGTAGTTGCCGAGGATTGCGGGGACACGGGGATGCCCGAACAACGAATGAAATCCGATGTGGAGGCAGGGCCCTCCGAGCGTAGCGTTAAATCTCTGGGGGAATCCCAGGGATTCGGTTCTACGCTATCAATAGCCCGGGCGGCCGACAGCGCCCCCACGCCGGTAACATAGGCGGGTGCTGTACGGTCAATCAACCGGCCATATAACAGCCCATCCCCAGGCATCGTGGTAATCACGGGGCTGGGTGGGCCTGGGTGCACTGAGCCATGGAGGAGTACTTCCTCCGGCTGCGTGTGCCCCGTAGACGGGCCAGGGACAGGCACGGTGCGCCCCGTAGCGGGGCCACCTTTTGCCGTACGTCCCTTTTTGGGTATTGCCCCGGCGTTAGACAATTTCTTTGTCTTGCCGGTGCGTTTCCCCTTCAGTTGGGCGGACCCGCGAACATTGACCGAAGACGGTGGGGTTGTACGGCCCCCCGCTTGGTCAACGGGTCCGTCAGCTCCGACAGCCGGCAGTGGCTGAAGGGGCCGACTAGGGGACTGCTGCCGCGGTGACGTACCATCACCGGTGCAGTCCCCCGAGAACTCGGGCTTGTCTGGTGGGATGTACGTCCCTCCATTATCGACACACCCGGTCCTCCCCAACTTCCTATTACTCATTTCTTTCACTTTCACTCAAATCCTTCACTAGAACAACTCTACAATACTTCACTAGAACAACTCTACAATACTTTCTTTTCGAAATAGCTTTCTCTAAGCAAAAGAGGTACCAATAAAATAGCGAAATTCAGGTCGTTGAAATTTCACGTGTACCTCGTCCTGCGGCTAAGAGAAAAAGAGGACGCTAACGTGGTGCGCATGTCACAGGGCGTCGTGGGTAGGACACGTGAGGGCGCTATTGTATGTAAAACTCTTAGCAAATTGCCTGCCGGCATAGGGAACAATGCATATGTAGTATTCGCTCTACAGGTAAGTAGAGTGATGTAGACGAGGGCATTATCATAAGAAATTGACCTCAAAATACACTTTTTAACCTGATTTGATATTCTGCCTTCTGAGAATGGCCTTTAGATTAAATCTGAAGATAGCTCCTTCTATTGCACTGTATAGTGACAAAATGAAGATGTCTTACAGAGATTCAGGTTTTATTAAGGGAATAAATGTGTGTTTTGGAGGTAATATAACACTCTGTTTTTGGAGTCCGGTCTTAAACAGAGTGTTTAATACCGACCAAAAACATATTTATTCCCATTCATAAATACATTTGTGGTCCAAAAAAAAAATCTTTTTGGTCCAAAAATCAAAACAAGCCAAACACTAGACGTTGCCAACCATTTTGTTCAACAATTTTACTTCATGTTTTATGAAACACCCCTCAGACTATAATATGGAATGTTCCTCTACAACTCCTTACCTTATAAGGAGATTGGCGCGTGCGTATAGCGCGATGTCGCACAGAATGCACCTGGGGCATTGCGTTGTGAATTTAGGACTATAAAATACTGACTCACTGGTAGTATTGCGCATGCCTACGTGAGGATTGTGAACGTTCAACCAATACAACGGTAAGAGGCACTGGATTTTTAGGAGTCCAAATTTCATGTGATTAAGAACAGCCAGCCATGTCTTTATCATCCATTTAAGACCGGCCACATGACGGGCTCTCGACCAATAGGAATGGTAAACTGTCTTAGGTATTTATGAATACACTGTTTGAAGTACATGTATTAAACTGACAAGGAAAATCACATGCCCCATCAATAATAACTTTTGTTGCTTATGCCAACCTACATGTAGCTCACTAGGTCTAACAAAATTTAAGAAAATAACCTTAAACTGTTTTCTGGGTGTGACTTGTGAAATAGACATGTTAATTGCAAACTGCTTTTATAACAGCCTTTTGTAGTAATACTTACATTGAATGCTAACCATGCAACAAGTCTGAAGCATCTTCTGATTTGCAGGAAAAATTCCTTGATTTTTGCTGAAAGAGGTAAAACGATTTCTTCATCTTTGTCAGTGGTCAACAATGCATCCCTGCTGCTTTGACTGCTGCTTTGACTGTGTGATGATGTTTCACTGAGCACCTCTCGCTGCACTCGTAAAATATCTAAAAATAGAGACAACGATAACACATTGAGTAAAAAAAGTCAGTCCCGGCACCATGTGGCGTTCGCCACTGTGCGGCACCCTGTGGCGTTCTCGACTGTGCTGGGGGACACGGGTAATTCAAACCCACTGCCCCGTGTTCGGTGATAGGATGGAGGGTGTAGTGCAGCCCATGTCTGGACTACGTTTACCTTGCCGACCCTTCTTAGGTTTGGCTCTGGCACAGGAGTGTAATTTAATAACTTTGCCAGAGCAGCCCTTTCTGTTTGGTTGTTCCGACTAAGCTGGCCGGAGATGGAGACTGTTTGAGGTCCCCTACTCGGCCAACGGAGCTGCTGACGCGGTAACAAGTGCTGCAACTGATCCTCAAAGTTCGGTTCGCTTCCGTTCGGTTGTGGTTCGATTTTTTTTCTCCGAACTTTGGTTCGGTTCGGCTTTGGAAGTGCGTAATGTACATGTCCATGGTACAATGTACTGGGCTACAATGAAAAGCATATAGGCCGTTCCCCTGTTCGAACAAACACGTGTGCAACGCGCACGTCTGACAGAAATAGGCACAACAATTTCCACATGCTTTACAACACAAGTTGACGGATGGAATCTTATTTTTGTTGTGTAAACAAAATACCGTTATAATTTTAGTTGATGACGTTGAGAAATGAACATCATAAATTGCTACCGTGTTACCCATCGCAGCCCTATCCGACCCGGGAACTATGATAAAATTTTCCCCGCACACATGCTGACGGTTTTCCCGACGAGTTCAGTCCCGTCCGAGCATGCCCTGAGAGCACTAAAAACTTGCTTCGTGACAATAATTGCTGATTAGTTTTGATCTAAGAACAAACAGGTCCTTTTACTGTGCCAAACTTTTGAAATCATAATTATTTTATCAACAAGCTGACAAGTAGCTACCATAACCTTTTCGATTCACCCATGAATATTCATTCTGTGGACGGATCCAATAATTTTGTAAAGGGGTGTTTCACCCTCTTTTGGGAGATTACATCGTTTTTCGTATACATTCTTTACAAAAAAAAATATATTGTGAAAATTAAGAACTTATACTGAACATGGGAAAGAATTCCGACTCCATAAAAAGTATTTTTAAATGTTGACAAGGTAAAGAAAATGAAAATGCTGGTAACTTGTGCCGAGGAAAGCGCACCCTCCACCGCAAATGGTCTCCTGCCCCATTCCATTGAGAGAATTGCAGGTACGTACGATTTTTTCAAGGTGTATCGGCCCATTATTCTCTTGTATGCCTGTCTAGAACATCGTAAATAATGAAGATGAATGCTGAGACTTTTCAACATGGTAAATTCAATCATCCGTGCACGTTAATTTTGCCCTTTCATTGCAAGCCTTAGGATTCTTAGCGCCATCAACAATTTTTTACCGAACTCTTCCGAACAGACTTTTGGATTCGGTTCGGTTCGAAAGGCCAAGTTCTGTTACTTTTAGTTCGGTTCGGCGGTTCAGCTGCAGCACTAGCGATAACGGCGCAGCATTACCGGCAGAGTCCCCCGAGAACTTGGTCTGTCCCAGGGGAGATTCCCTTCTCCCAGTTGTGACAGGCCAGTTAAAATAATCTCACTACCACACTACACTACACTACAACTCATCTTCAAACTCTTATATCAAAAACTTCTCTTAAGCGATAAAGGGCAGTAGAAAAAAAAAAGAGTAATGATACGAGCATATTATAAACATGTCCTAACCGACCTGCCGCTTAGAGAAAAGAGGACGCTCACGTGGCATACATGCTGCGGGGCACTATGGGTAGGGCACCAGAGGGCACTATTGTGTAAACTCTTAGCGTAAATACCTACTGGTCTAGGGAAATATGCAAAGAAGTAGATTGCTCTGCAGGTAAGATGAGTGACGTAGACAGCAAAATGTTAGAGAACCGCAGGAACTTAAATATTGGGTTTTGCCCTTCACTGATGTATTTTACAAACACTGTATACTCTGTGTTGTCCCGAGTAATTGTGAGAAAAAAATCACTCAAGTAGGACTCGAACCCATGACCTCCTGATTACTAGTGCAGACTTCTTACCACTCAACCATCGATCTTGCCGAGTTGGCTGGCCAGTTGGTTTGTGGTAACCTCAGGAACATTTGGTTACAACAAACTGGTTTTTATTATTTGATTTCCCTCATAATGTGTGATTTTTTTTTCTTCAAAATTCTGTCTTTTGAGTTAAAAGACATGTAGGAACATTGGTCAAAATGTGGAAAAGCAGCTACTGATTTCATGAGAAAATCTGCCTCAAAATGAAGACAGGGATGGTTCTAAGTACCCCGTGAAATTAGTTCACCTGAAATGGTATCGTTTATAAGAAAACAATAATTGAAGGTGGTTTTAAAACATGGGCACACTTTTGTATGTGCTTTTGCAAAGGAATCCGGTTACAAGACCCGAAAATGTCTGCAAATGCTGTCTCTGTTTTCTCCAAAATGTATAGTTGACACTGAGCTATAGTGGCTGTTTGTGGAACACCATTGACAATGAAATAACCCGGTAGAACAATGCTGTCCTTGGGCCATTTTAATCCTTATACAAAAGGGCGCTCCTATCACAATATGAAACATAGCTTTCCCTCCTTAGTCACACTCCTTAGCTTCACTCTTTCATTAGTCACACGGTTTTCATATAAGGTGTCATCTCTATTATTGATCTAATCCTCATTGTAATTATTCTTTTTGTCTCCATCTTCAGTGTCCGGTCTCGTGTTTTTTGTTTTGTTTTTGTTTGTTTGTTTTTTGGTGTTTACTCCTATTGTCTGTGTAAACTGTCCCGGGTGTCTGTGTCTGTGTAAAGTTGTTCTCTACAAGCCAAGGTTTATATTGGTTTTATTGACAAACTTAAGTTGAACTGCTTGTAGAAAGTATGGAAATAAATGTTGCTATTGAACTGAATTAAATTGAATTGAGTTAAAACTTCCACATGCTAGTTGTTATGCACCCATCTTCAGATTTGGATCAATTTTTGGTGCTTCAAAGGGGGAACAAGCACACAAAACAAATGATCCCAAGTAACTTTAACTTGTGATGCAGAAAGACATACCTGTGGTATTTATCAACAGTGGAGTTGTCTGGTCATCAACTGAGGATCTGTTGCATATTTGTCTTTGCTTAGCAGGTTTAGCACGCTCTTTGATTAGACGTAATGATACTGCAAGGTATACAACCACTGCTGGTACAATACTGATGAATGCCCACCTGAATAATTGCCAAGAAAACCATCTCATTCATTACATATCACATGTTGAATCCCTTAGAAACAAGAGGGGAGGGACCACCTCCTCTTTTGTGTTGGTCATTATGTTTCCGTTATCGCAGTTATCGAGTTTGTTTGAGATATCTAGGGGGTGCCGCTGCTTGAAGTATCGGCACATTCTGGGAATGGACTGGTTCTAGTTTGTGATACCATGTAAACATCGTACAGTGGGAATAGCGAAACCAGATTCATTTCTTGCATGCAGTATATACATCGGTTGCTTGGCTGCTTGCAATTTACGTTGGTTCAGCCAATTTTTCCAGGCGTGTCAAATTGGTCAAAACCCGTATTTTATGGGGAAAAAACGTACAGTCGTATTTTCAACAAATTCCCGTACGAAATACGGCAGAATTGTATTAGTTGGCAGGTCTGAGGATTGGACCTTGTCTTTATTGCAAAGAAAAGCAACATTGCCCCTTTGATGAGGACTTGATGTCACACAATTCGTTATTATTAGTATTTTTTTTAGCTGTTTCAGAGTACCAACTCTGAAACACCTCTTGTTTTTGTTTAAGATTTGTTTTCCCTTTTTTTTTTCTTTTTCAGACTCCTCAATGTAGGTTTTGTCCACGGTTTTCTTCTACCCATACACTTGGCACTTTCGTAAATCCGATCGACTTCAAACTTGGCACACTCATACACAACCACCCTTAGATGTATGCCGAAGATTTGTCAGGATGACGTCATCAGGTGTCAAGTTACTCACATTAAAGGTGCATTTTTTCTTCATAGGGTTTGTACATGTTTTTCTTCCAACTCTACACTTTGGCACTTTTAAATGTGTAATTGACTTTAGACTTTTTTTTTTTTTTTTTTTTTTTTACATTAATAAGGCAAACACTGTGCTGCATGATGAACAGGCATTATCTGCATCACTGTCATGTCAACCAAGCATATGGGCGCAAAAGTTCAAATCAGAAATTTAAGAAAATGACCATAAATAATCTGTGACTTACTTATCCAGGTTCCGCATATCTTGGGAATGTTCCTCACCATTAATAAAGCAACCTAGTGAAATAAAAATGATTTATTAAATGGCTTCAAAATATTTTTAAAGTGCTTGTTGGGACACGGTAGGCTTCTAGTATTTAAATATTGACTGCTTCGAGTGGTGTGGTAAAACTAGCCTCCAAAGGTGATCCATGGAATGTTCTGTTTTCCCGAGGCATTTTCGTTTATTTAAAAAACATCATGCTAATAATATGCATTTTTTAATTGTAAAAACAAAAAATAAAAATCTCCTTTCTTTAAAGGAAGAGTATATTATTTGCAGCTATCCAAAAAGTAACTGCAGAAATTATTGTTGAAAAGCGTACTTGGTTTAGGGGCCGTTCACAATTATCAACATTTTCACGAGCGTACAAACCGTACGCTGGGGGGGAGGGGGTTAATGGCCGCCGTACGCTTTTTTCTTTTTTGTAAATGTCGATATGTTTTCTCGCCCGTTAATGCCCGCCTATAAACGCTGGTTTTTTTTTTGTTTAATGTCGATCTGTTTTCTCGCCCGTCGCCACAGCCGACAGCCGCAATCGATGCCGATCGAGCACTTGCCGAGCCGATCGCGCCCCGCGCCAGGCCCCGCATTGCATCCCATGAACGTATTGTGTACAGCATGCGCGGCATTGTCCTACACACGTACATGAAAATGTACTTTGTATGTACATGTATAGTCCGTATCCACTGCGTGTTTTTAACGGCCGGTGTCACATGTCATGGCCAAAAACTTGATCTACAAAAGTTACAAAAACCCTTGCAAGTGTCTATATATAGACTTGTGTGAAAAAAAAATCAACATTTTTTTCGTACACTTTTAGGGGGGAGGGGGTCTTGAAAAAGTGTACTCTTTGTACACTTGTGAAAATGTTGATAATTGTGAACGGCCCCTTAAAGATTGTAATGGCACTAATAATTTCCGTAAGAAATTATTCTTTCTTGCATGCTGTCGTATTGAAAAAAAAAAATACAAGAAGGTCAATTCAAAAGATGCGTCTAAAGATGTTTTTTGGGTGGAAATTTCATTACTAGTTTGTTTTTAATTCAGTGAAGCCGAGAATGTGTGCATGCAAGCGTTGATGCATGCGCAGTTGCTATAATTTGTCGGTTCAGTGCGTGACATTATGTAGCTGCAATTGGCTGAATGAGCATGTGTCCTGGACGCTGAATTCGGGCGCCATTCAAAACATGACAAAGCAACATTGAATTGAAACTGAGATCCTAGAATATTTTTTTTCTTTGAATGTAAAGCATTCACGGAGCAAAAACTTCTTCCGGTAAGTTGTCAAGCACCCTTCTTTAGATTTTGATTACTTACAAAAAAAGCACAAATGACAAATGATGTACTCTACCTTTAATCAGTATCACTGGCTGCCTTTTAGGCGAGCGGGCGAACCTTTGAAAAGAGGCTTATTTCAGGAGTTTAAATGCCCCAGCCTACACACACCTACACCATACATCATTAGAAAGCTTAATGTGTCTACTAAGGCATGATGTGGAGCTTGGAAATTGGGAGAAATGTGTTTTTGGCTCATTTGGGTCTAAAAAGTCACATTTGTGGTCAAAAATATGATTTTCAAAATGTGGTATTTTTGATATCTGTGAAACCAGCCTCAACCATCGAGGCAAGTTTGAGACCAAATCGACGTTCCATAACTTCAAAATAGCCATCTACAGATTACAAAATATACAGTAACTATTGGCAATATTGAGTGAAAATGTGCACTTTTCTCAGAATCGTTTTTCTACGAGCAACATGAAGGTACAATTTTGGTTATTAGCCAATTGCCCAACACCAAACACACCTACATCATACATCATTAGAAAGCTTAACATGTCTACTTTCAGATTAGGCATGATGTGGAGCTGTAAAACTGGGAGAATTGTGTTTTTATGGCTCATTTTGGTCTAAAAGTCACATTTAAAAAAAAATATGATTTTACAAATTTGGTATTTTATATACCTATGGGACCAGCCCGAACCATCGAGGAAAGTTTTAGACCAAATTGACGTTCAATAAATTCACAACTACCCATATTAAGATTACAAAATGTACAGTAACTATAGGCAGTATTGAGTGAAAATGTGCATATTTCTCAAAATAGTGTTTTTTAAAAGCAACACTAAGGTAAAATGTGACCCGCTCCACAAAAATGAGTCTGTTGTGGCAAAACAGAAATTTTGAGTTAACTACATTAATAAAATGGGAATGAAATAAGCTTTCATTTGGTATATCATGGGCCTCTCTAGGACATTTGGTTGCACTGTTGTGCCTTTTTTAATTCTGTCAAGTTTTTGCAAAGCAAGAAATGTCTCAATGAAGAAAAAAGGGTTTAAAAATTACAAATACACTGTAACTAACCAAGAAAAGCACCAAAAATCATAAATTTGTTAGTCTTTTTCTTACAATATTCAAATGTCTGTGTAAGATATCTGAACTAAAACTATCAAACAACCAAAATAAAACAAAAACAAAAAAATCCAAATTTTGAGCAAATTTTCACTGTTTCCATTTAAAAGTGGTAAAAGCTGGAATTCAAGCTATGCGACATCAGACTCATTTTTGCAGAGCGGGTCACAAATGTTTGTTATTTGTCCATTGCCCAACACCACACACACCTACACCATACATCATTGGAAAGCTTAATATGTCTGCTTTAAGAATAGGTATGATGTGGAGCTGTCCAATTGGGAGGACTGTGGTGTATTTTTTTTACCCTTTTTGGTCTAAAAGTCTCATTTTGGGTCAAAATATGATTTTGTTATTTTTTATATCTGTAAGACCAGGCTCATCCACGAAGGCAATTTTTATACCAAATTGATGTTCCATAAATTCACAATTACCATACCAGGATTTCAAAATGTACAGTAACTATAGGCAGTATTGAGTGGAATTGTACACTTTTCTCACAATTGTGTTTCTGAAAGCACTATTAAGGTAAACTTTTGCTTTATTACTGAACTCATGCTCGTTTTTGAACTTTATGAATGTGAAAATAGTAGATAGATCTTTCTCATTCATAATAATGGTACATACTGTGAAGCTGCAAAGTTCGGTCGAATGTATTATTGGGCCATTATTTGGTAAAAAATACTCATTTTTGGTCCACAATATGATCTTTAAGACATTAGTATTTTTGTATATCTGTGGAAAAATCCTTATCCTTGAAAGCAAGTTTTAGACCAAATTGAGGCTCCATTAATTCACAATTACCATTTTAAGATAACAAAATTTACGGTATATATAGGCAACATTTTGTAAAAATGTGCATTTTGTTTCAAAATCGTGTTCCTAAAGGCAACACAACTGGTGAAATTTGGTTATTTAGCAAAATCATGCCTTTTTGTGAGCAAAGTAAATGTGAAAATGGATGACAGATGATTTGCACAATATCTTGAGTACGGCTGAGTTTATTTTCTGGCCATTGGACTTAATAATTGTAGACATCTATGGAGCAAGTCCCATCTATGGAAGCAAGTTTTACAGCTAAATGTTTATGACAGGCATCTTAAGGTTACAAAATGTACAGTAACTGAAGGCACTATTGAGTCAAAGTAGTTTTCTCAACATCGTATTTCTAAAAGCAAAGTAAAAGTAGAACTGCTCAAATGTTTTATTTAGGCATGAGATGGAACTGATGAGTGAAATTATTTTGACAAGAATATGATTTTTTTTCTGGCATGAACTCTTATCAGTGCTGGAGGTTCTCTGATATAAATCTGAAAAAGTCCATCACTTGTAGCAGTGTTGAAGATGTGGCAGGTCTGTTTAGTTCACAAGACAGAAGAAGATGATACCAGAATGTGTCTGCATGTTTCACCCTCAATCATCAAGTCCCTGGACACACGGTTCTCGCAGCCAACTACTTTCCCAGAATGGAATCACTGGATTCTAACTTCTGCCTTATTCTTCCTGCTGTTCACTGATCGGATATAAAGTCTTCCCCATTTGGATTTGGCAAGAAGGTTTTGAATATTCTGAAGGCCAAGGGTACAGTGTAAGTGCTTTGCAGATCTCTCCAAACCGGCAGAAAAGGAGGAAAAGGTGCCAATAAATGCAGTAATAAAATAGTTAGTGGCAAAAGCCGTATGACCAGAGCGTGAAGGGTAATGAAGATAATGTGGAATATATTTAAGGTCAAAGGTCATAGATCACAGGTCAAATGAGGTCAATTATGATGCAATTCGAAAAAGTTTTGGTTCAGTTTTTAAAAAGATGTCAACTTCTACATGCTATTAATGGCTTTGATGCAACTTGGAAACAGTGACCCTTGGATATAAAGACACAATTCTTCATCGGATTACTGAGGTCAAAGGTTATGCAGGGGTCATTTTAGGTCATTGTTCAAATATGCTTCAAATTTTCTTTGTCAACAGAATGTGATGGATTTTCACGTAACTTAATTGTATGGAGTGTTCCTTTATTGTAAGCGGGTTCATCACATGCGGTCTGCGAACCACTTGTTCACAAAACTAGCCAGAAAATACACTTGGCCGAATTTTGCAGCTTCACACTAGAGTAATTATGAATGTAAATGATATATCAACCATATTCACATTTTTATTTAGCTCGGAACACAGGCACAAAAGTTTAGTAAATAACAAAAACGTTACCTTCGTGTTGTTTTTCTAGAAATACGATTGTGAAAAAAATGCACATTTGCACTCAATACTGCCTATAGTTACTGTACATTTTGTAATCTTAGAAGGGTAATTATGGACTTATAGCAACTCAATTTTGTCCAAAAATTGCCTTCGTGGATGAGGCTGATGATCCAGATATAAAAAACACAAATATCTTAAAAATCAAATGTTTGACAAAAAATGAGACTTTTAGACCAAAACGGGTCGTGAAACATATTTTTCCCAATTAGGTAGCTCTGCATCATGCCAGTACCTAGTCTTAAATTAGACTCAATTTTGTCCAAAAATTGCCTTCATGGATGAAGCTGATGATCCAGATATAAAAAACACAAATATCTTAAAAATCAAATGTTTGACAAAAAATGAGACTTTTAGACCAAAATGGGCCGTGAAACACATTTTTCCAATTAGGTAGCTCCGCATCATGGCGGTACCTAGTCTTAAATTAGACATATTAGGCTTTCTAATGATGTATGGTGTAGGTGTGTGTGGTGTTGGGCAATGGACAAATAACAAACATTTTACCTTAGTGCTGCTCTTAGAAACACGATTTTGAGAAAAATGCACATTTTCACTCAATACTGCCTATAGTTATTTGTAATCTTAATATGGTAATCGTGAATTTATAAAACGTCAATTTGGTCTAAAACTTGCCTCGATGGTTCAGGCTGGTCCCACAGATATATGTAATACTAAATTTGTAAATCATATTTTTGACCAAAACAGTGACTTTTAGACCAAAATGGCCCCCAAAACCACATTTCTCCCAATTTCCAAACTCCACATCATGCCTAATCTGAAAGAAAACATATTAGGGCATTTAAGTCGACCAAAATTTGGATTCCGCCGCTCGCCTATTAGTCTTCATCAAGATTTGTTTCTTTCTCAGACACCTGTCCATAGTGCCTGGCACTTCAATCCGACAGCATTTATACTTGCCACACACATAGACCTGCATCTATAAATCATTTTTGATGCATTTTGAAAGATTTTATATTTTCTTTTACTGACAAAATTTCAATACATTTCCTGGATTCAGATTAATCTGAATCTTGGCACAAAGACAAACAAAACTGCTGTGCTTAGTAGTATTGCGAGGTTCCCTCGGTTCCCTCGGTTCCCTGGTTCTACCCGGTTCCAATACGAGAACTGGAAACGCAAGTCCATTTTTTTTCAAAAACTGGGAACCCGCTATTCTCGGTTCCAGCTCCAAAAGAATCAGTTCCAGATTAAATAACCCATTCTCTGTGCACAAAACCCAGAGCCAAGAATCGGCTACATGTCATGTAGGAATTCAACACAGGGACATCATTCAATCTTGCTAGTCAAAACAACGGCGAGGAAAAACCACAGACTCCAAATACATCGCCGGAGATCGGAGACAATCCGCCCTACAATGTTTGCGGTCGGGCCACGAGGCGTGCATGCATGCCCAATACTAGTCTGTTTGGACAATCAGTGTAACGTGAATTTAGGTTTATAAAATACGGACCCCATGGTGGTATTGCGCATGCTCCTGCATAGATAATTAGAAAAATGAATAATCACAAAAAAGGAGTCCGTTGTTCACATAAGTCAATTTTTTTGTCACACCGGCTCTGAGTGCTGGAATCGGCTCTGATGGCCCCGGCTCCGATGAGTGCCGCGGGAATCGGCTCTGCGCACGGACCCGTACTCGTGTACTGGTGCACCAATGGGTACAGCACAGTTTTGAGATTTGGATTTCGTGAGCAGTGGGCCGGGGTACATGTAAAAAATCCCCAGCTCCATACGAGTCTCGAATCTACCGTTGCATGAAAATGATTCCTATGCTTCATTTCTAAAACTTCTTTCTGATATCGGCGCACATGGTGAAAAATAGGCTGCTTTACCTGCTAGATAATAAAGCCAACCGCCCACGACTCGTTCGAATCAGCCTGGGTAAATTTGTACACGGATTCCAGCACTCGACCGGGGTTCCATGTTCATTGAAAGCAAGGTACCAGTATACGTAGCGAGTGCGTGTGCTTGTGCTGTGCAGTGAATCGTTTAGTCTCGGCGGCATGATGATGGTGTTCGCCGCGGTAAATAAAATCATGGGAAAGGAACAGAGAATAAAGTAATAATCTCGCAGTTTCACAGGAAACTTTTTGAAAACAAACATAGTAGAATAACATGTACAAGGTGACACAGTTATTCTTTACATGTAGTTTCTAGAGCTTATGTTGTTCATTGAATTTTCCGGGAGCCGATTCCGACTCGGAACCGGCTCTTTTTTGGGAACCGGAACCGGCTCCAGGAAGATTGGAACTGCTCAAGCCTAGTGCTTAGCCACGTGACAAACACATTTCTAGTTTATTATTAATTCTTGTAGATATTTGGCATTGGAAAAAGATAGGAAGTTCCAAGTTGCTTTCAGAACATGTTGCTGTATTTATTAATTTATACATTTTAATTTTGAAGAAACTTACCAAAAAGAACATACAAAAACGCTCCCAGAAGCCCTGCTAAGCCATAGCCACTGGCCCAAGCTGTCACATTGTGGCTGTCAAACCTTGATAGATAGCCTAGTGCAACACTAAAGAAAAAAAAAAAATCATGTTCTGAATTAATTCTTTCATTTTGTATATGGAAATTAAAAAGTCAACTCCTGATAATGGTCTATTATCACAACAGCCAATGATTGTTTTGTTATACCATGGTTGTATTGTTTTTTGACTTTTTGTAATTTTTTTCGTCTTTTGTAAGTACTGATATATATTTTTTGGACATCCCTACCGATGCATTTTAGTTAAAGAGTCTAATGCTTTGGTCTTTATTGAAATGGGCGTGTGCATTTGATAAGTCTGCATTGACAAGTGCACACGCCCCAGGTAACTTGCACACAGGGTCTATTCTAGCGGAGTTGTCCAAAGCAGCAGGGACAAAAATGTTCAATAGTCTTGGGTGATACAGTGGAATGCCGCTATATAATGAACATCACGGGATCCACAGAAAACGTTCCTTATAATGATCATTCAGTGTACAGGTAGCAATTTTGAGCTGCCGGTACTTAAATGGCGTTTCTGTTTAAAGGGAATATACATCATTTGCTTTTGCTGTAATTTTCAGAAATGGATGGAATTGGGGGGTTTGAAATATCAAGCAAATATAGTTACACTAACTTTTTGGAGGTTTTGGGTTCGAAAATGCTATAAAAACCAAGAAAAACGATCATTTTCCTGTAGTCTGGTTCCCTGACTCCATATAAGAAGAAACAGAGCAGTTTACATACATTTGGGAATTGTAAGGTCAGGGAACCAGTCTAGCTGGCTCGTACCCGTTCATAGGTTTGTAATCGATTGCAATCAAGTGCAATGGTCAATTGGGACCAGTATTTGAAAAAAAAGCCAGTTGTTTCCAACGCTGATCGGCCGATCAGCGTTGGAAATTGATACAAAAATACCACTTTTCTTGAAAATGACAGTATACCAGGTGCCATAATTTTACAGGATGCTTTAGACTGTCATTTACCAACATCCTATTAAGGTATTTTGCAAAAACTTGGTAGTTTTATTTTTCGATGTTTGCAAATGTTGTATATTCCCTTTAAATAGCTCCCTCGTGTGCCCTACTTGAAGTGCGCTCTCTTTTGACTGGATTTGTTGTGTTTATTTATTTTCCCTTTTTTGAAATTTCGATGTGCAAAAAGGTTTCTTAAAATGTACATTTTGTACTTTTTAATTTTATTTGAAGTAATATGTTTTTAAGAAATTGCTGGAAAGTTTATATAATTTTTTTTTCATTTATAAGGCTTTATTTATGCAATTTATGGTTGTAAAGTGTGCAAAGTAAAATCAACACAATAAATATAAACATCACTGAGAAGAAGAGAGGCGTCTGCAAAAGGGAAAGGAATGGCTGGGATAAAGGTATGTTTTCTATTTTTTACCTTTTACTTTTTTTTGTGTTCATTGTTCATTGTTCATTTATTTTCCACAGTGTCACATTTTTTAATTATAGTAGTTAATACAAAAAGGTACTTTATAGACAGATGGTGACACTGTAGAGGAACCTACTAAGAAGCTAAGCTTGTAATCGTTGGCCGCTTGTATACACATTTAAAGTTGCTTTTAATGCATAAAACACAGGATAAACAATAGACAAGGACAATACACGAACTTTACATGCCAGTTAACAAGCAGGATAAGATTTGTAGCATGAGCAATCTCGAAGTTAATGGGTTACACACGACAAAAATAATTATGCAACAGGGTCGATTTATATTTCCGTTTCAAAGTAGACAAATATTTAGATGTTTTCAGGTTCTCGGTAAATGAGTTCCACAGCCTGGGTCCCTCATATCTAATAGAATTTTTGGCTAAAGATGTGCGAGTCAATGGGAGATGAAAATTAGAGACTTGACGAGTATAATGGGAATGAACATCCAAATTCCGGACAAAGACTGAATGAATGGAAGATGGTGAGGTGCCAGAAGCAGATTGAAATCAGTAAAATTAATTATTTGAAGAGCCTGTTGAGATTACCGAGGGAACATGCTCCCCAAGCTAGAATACCATTACTGAGGTACGACAATATTAATGTATTATACAGGGAAACTAAAATTGTGGGAGGGATAAAGTATTTGATCTTGTTGATAACACCTGTTTCTCGCAATGCATGATTTTACATAAATAATCTATATGATTAGTCCATGTTAATTTAGAATCTATAATCCAAGAAATTTAAGACAATCAGCTTTTTCGGTGACCATGTCATTAATTCCCCCAAATCAAAGGTGATTTGGGAGTCCGCGAAAGGACGATACTTACCTGTTAAACCTACAATTTGCATATTTCTCTAGGCCTTAGGCTTCCACGCTAGATTTTAATACCACACAAGGGCGCCCGCCCCCGCTCCCGCCTACGGCCAACTCGTCCTCTTTTCTCTAGTATCTAACCTTAGGGCAAGCCACCGTGGGGAAGGAGGGGGGGGGGGGAGGTTTAACAGTTAAGTATCGTCCCTTCGCGGACTCCCAAATCACCTTTGATTTGGGGGAGTCCACTTCAGGGACTCCCTTACCTGTTAAACCTACAATTTGCATAGACTAGCACCGAAAAATGGATGGTGGGCTTCAGAGCGAGCCTATCCAAAAACCACGCTTCGGGAAACCTAAACCTTGTCCCTTCACGTTCTCCCTAACCAGTGGTGTACATGGCAACTTACAGAACTCACCAGTAACTGGTGTTCTCTCCTGACCCTGAGGGAACATCCCATCACTCCCGGGTAGAACCTCCCCTGGCTGCACCTACTGAGATGGCTGTACGGCCTGTCCGTCCTTCTGCTTGGAGAACATCCCGCAGGTAGCAGGCCGTGAAAGTTGACGGTGTTTTCCAGGCGGCTGCCTGTAAACTGTCCACAATAGGGACCCCCTTGAAGTAAGCCCATGACGTTGTCATGGCTCTCGTGTCATGTGCTTTGACCGGATTGGTTGGTGACTTCGGCCAGTCTTTGACTGACGCTTGGATAGCCGTAACAATCCACCGGGAAATAGAGTCTGCCGACACCGCCCCGTGTGGTTTATTTGTTGAAATGAATAGTTGGGTGGTTTCTCCTCTTCAGGTTTTTGTTTGAGCCAAGTACCATTTCAGTGCTCGAACTGGACACCATAATTTATCTTGTGGGACGGAGGAAAACCCTTTAAGATCCGGAACAAAAATCGGTGGGGGGAAGAAGGATGGAGATTGATTCTTTGTTAAAAACCCATGACGAGGCACCAGTCGTACCCCGTTGGGTTCCCATCGGATATGCCCCGGTTCCACCGAAAGGGCATGAATCTCGCTTCTTCGTCTAGCCGTGGCCGTGGCTAACAGGAAGACCGTTTTGACGGATAAGTCGAACAAAGAGGCGTTGGACATAGGTTCATATGGCGGTCCCGCCAAGACCTGAAGGACCTGTGCCAGATCCCAAGACGGAACCAGCTTCTTAGTTGGAGGCCTCTCAACGAACATCGCCCGCATGAGCTGAGTCAGGCTAGCATTATCCGACACCGTAGATCCATCCGGGAATCCCTTATGGACAGCTGCTATGGCTGATCTGTAGCCCCGAATAGTGGATACCGTTATATCCTCATGGAACAGGTGCATAAGGAAGTCTCCTACCACTGCTAAAGGTGTTGTGCATGGATCATGAGTTTGTTCTTCACACCACCTATGATAATGTCGTAATCGGCTGTCGTAAGTTCGACGGGTAGACAGTCTGCGGCCTTGGGCTGCCAATGAGGCAGCGTCTGCTGAAAGGCCTGCTGATCGCAGTGACTGCTCGACAGCATCCAAGATGTTAAGTGAAGCGACTCTATCCCTGGGTGCGGAATCAGAGGCCGCGGCTGACGCAGCAGGTCTGGTCGCCCCAGAAGAATTATCGGTGGGTTGCACAACAGCCTAACGATTTTCTGAAACCAAGGCTGGCGCGGCCAAAAGGGAGTGATGAGAATGACTCTGCACTCCTCTGTCTCGACCTTTGTCAATACTCTTGGCAGGAGCGAGATTGGTGGAAAAGCGTATGCCAGCATGCCCTTCCAACTGATGGAAAACGCGTCTGCAGTCCATGCCTTTGGGTCCTGGTTGCCTGCGCAATACACCGGTAACTGATGGTTCAGTGCCGATGCAAAAAGATTGATGTGAGGACGATCCAATACTTGGAAGATCGACTGAACTACTGTCGGGTGAAGAGTCCACTCCGTTGGAAGGACCTTCCCCCGGGACAGAGCGTCCGCCATGATATTCAGTTTCCTCGCCAGGTGGACCGCTGTAAGCGTAACCTGTCTCGCTTGACACCACAGCAGGAGCTCCCACGTGTGCATGCACAACTGCGGGGACCGTGTCCCGCCCTGGCGGTTTATGTAACACACGACGGTTGAGTTGTCCGATTTTATGTGGACTACTTCCCCTGTCACCCGTCCGCAAGCAGTTCCGCAAGCAGTTCCAGGATATTGATGTGGCACTGTCTGTCCGCCTGGGACCGAGACCCTGCTGCTGATTCTATTCCAATATGTGCCCCCCAACCTGTGTTGGAGGCATCCGTCACCAGAGTCACAGAAGGTTGTGGTCGTGGAAAAATCAGTCCCGCCTTGACGTTTGTTCGCTGAGACCACCAGTCCAGATGGGGGCGAATCATGTTTGGGATTGGCACTGGCCATTGGATTTGGTGAATGCACGGTCGGTAGTGGGCAAGTAGATGTAATTGTAGTGGGCTCATCCGCATCCTGCATCATGGAAGCACATCCACCATGCTTGCCATTAGGCCCAATAGCCGAAGCCAGGCTATTGCCGGGGCCACGCTGGCAGTCTGGAACAGGGCGATGCAGTCCACAAGATTTTGGACTCACTCCTCGTCCCCTTCCTCGGTCGGGAAAGCCAGCCCTCGCTGGAGGTCCAACTTTGCTCCTAAGAAAACTGGGTGCATCGTTGGGTTTGGTTGGGATTTTTCGACGTTGACCAGGAACCCCAACTCTGAAATGTTGTTGCAAGTGAGTTCGAGTGCCCAACTCGTTTTCTCCTTTGTCTCCCCCACAATGAGCCAATCGTCCAGGTAAACAAA